GTGTGTGTGTAGTTTGTGTAAAATGTATTTTCATACAGTAATTGTCATAAAACAAATACTGACATTGAATACTGTCAACAGGTTGAAAAATAGAATAAAATAAAATATTTGATATAAAATAGTAAAATGTATTAAATATAAAATATATTTCATACATATAGACAATATTGAATATTGTCACTATTAAATAATATTTTTTTTATATAAAATAAATAATAACATTTATTTGCTATATGATATAATATTATATTTTTATACAAACTTAAAACATAAATATTGATAATATTGAATTTTACCAATAGGCTGAAAAATATAATACATTTATATTAAATATAATATGTTTTTATAACAGCCATTGTCTCCAATTATTATGAAAATGTTTAATGCAAGAATTAAAATACAGCAAAAGTCATTTAAAAAAGGGTATCTAGTTAAAATAATCAACACATGTTTTCTGTATTTATATATTTAACTATGTTTATGTGCATACACCAATATAACAATACATAGTAATATATACATACATATAAAAAAAATTTAATAAATGAAAAATGCCACCCAGAGACATGGTTATGTTGGGGTTGTTCTGAATCGGTTCATTGAAACAGACGATTTGAACAGATTCCCTAAAGTTAATACATTTTAGCAATTTTAACTGTATTTTTCCGAATGAACTTAAATCAGAGTTTAAATATTTAAACATCTATAAATTAGTCTTAATCTAATGATGTGCTCCTTTGCCAAATTTTTAAATGAAAATAACTGCAATATTCTCAATGTTGCTTCATTTTGTATCACCAGCAAAATCATAATGAATAATCCTAACTGCAAACTAATTGCATCTTGCTCCGTGTTTGGTCTCCTTCTGCAGCTCTGGAGTCTAAACTGGTTAGCCAGTTCTGTGAGGATGAGAACGGGGCCCTTTTCTTCAACCGGATTACCAACGGCTTGAACGGAAACAACGGATACGGCTACAGCAACGGCCAAGAGGATGTTTCCTCATACAGGAATAATGTTTATGGGAACAGATTTCAGGAGATTTCACAGGACAGATCGCAGAGTCACACGAGAGGCAGAGGACACGGCATACCTCTTCCCATCAACCCTGGCCCTCTCAAAGCACAGGTCAACTACCACAACTAACTAACTGTCCATTTCTTTTGCATGCTAGACTAATGCAGACTGATTTGAACCAGGCCACTGTCTGATTCTGTGTTGTTGCTGTTGTGCAGGTGGAGAATGACTATGAAGGTGAGGATCTAGACATAAAGATGCAACCTCAAGGTGGCAGCACTGTTGCTGTTGTCAATAAGACTGTCCAACCTGTCCAGCCAGGAACCTCTTCATCATCATCATCATCATCATCATCATCATCTTCATCAGTGTCAACACATTCTACTTCAGTGAATGTGAATGCAAAGCCTCGTCCTGTAGTGATAAAAGGTATTCTTTTCATACAACTGTTGTTATACAATATAAATATTGACCATATTGAATATTGTCAATAGGCTGAAAATATCATATATTACAAATGATTAAATATTACAAATTAATGTTCTATAGTATAAAATAGAGAATAATAAAATATATATGTGACAAAACAAATATTTTTATAATATAAAATAATAAATAATAAAATAGTTTTTTAAATATTATTTTATACAATCATAAAACATTAATGCTGACAATACAGAATATTATCAATAGGCTGAAAAATATAATAAAAATTATAATTTATTATGTAAAATAATAAAATTATAATAAATATAATATGTTTTAGAACAGACATTGTCATCAAGTATTTTGAAAATGTTTAATGCAAGAATTAAAATACAGCAAAGGTTAGTTAAAAAAGGGTATCTAGTTAAAATAATCAACACATGTTTTCTGTATTTATATATTTAACTTTAGCAAATGGCTGCAATATAACAAAGAGTGAAAAATGTAAGGGGGTCTGAATACTTTCCGTACCCACTGTATATAATCATCATTTAAAATAATAAGTAATACAATTGTTTGTATAATATAATATATTATAATATATTATTTTTATACAAATTTACTAAAACATACTGACACTACTGAAAAATATTACAAATTATATTTTTATAATATAAAAATATTTATACGGAAGTGGTTTTTATTTTCTGAAAGCGTTTAGTCATATTACTTCCTCTTCTTCTGTGGTGCGTCAGAATCGGCTCCACTGGATCCTCGATGTTTGCTCGGTCTGAGTCAGGGCTCCTGTAGAGACTACGTCATTCGCTGGTACTACGACAAACAGGCAAACGCGTGTGCTCAGTTCTGGTACGGAGGCTGTCAGGGCAACGACAACCGCTTCCAGACGGAAGAAGAATGCAAGAAGACGTGTGTCCTCACCAGCACAGGTATTATTCACTCCTACAGACATGAAGGAAGAGTTCATACAAGATAAGCTCTGTCAGCAGCAGTGTTATTATTTATTACAGTTATTACAGTTATTTTTGTTACATTTAGCAAAAACAAGCTGTAAAAAAATGTATCTGGCTACTGCTAACTAAAACTAAAACTAAAACGAATAAAATCAATTTTGATAATTTGGTCATTTAAAATAAAGCTAAAATAATATATAAATAAATAAAAGCTGAACTACTTACAAGAAATACATTCTTGAGAACATTATATCACACATACTGAACTGTCCTTTCAAATGTGACTGGTTTTGCATCTTTCTGGCATCTTTTACTGACTTTTTCTGCCTTTGTTTTCATAGCAGGCTAAACGGGATGAAGATCTACACTGAATAGTGATAATGAACTTTATGCTGGTGATGGTGTACACATGCCACAGTGGTCACTTCTTTCTATAATATCATAAAACTGTTCCCTAACATTATGCTCAGGATCTGGAGAAAATGTTTATGCAGAGCCCCAAATAAGTCAGAAGATTTTTTACAAGCAAGTACCTGAAACACAGGTGTTATTATGAAGCTTCAAACACACATTTCTTATATTTCTCAGTATCCTCTGAGAATCTGTGCACTGCTCTGCATGTGACAGTTGTGACATGCAGAAATATTACTAACAACCTTCACTGGGAATTGATTGTATATATGTTTTGTTTTATTTAACATTTATATACAATTTATGACTTGAGCAAAACCACAGACATATTTAGTAGGTTGCAGAAATGCCATAAATTATGTTTTAGGGATTTTCTGGGGATATTATCATTTTGTAGGGAATAAAGCAAATAAACAAACAAATCAAGTAGTTAAGTCACTAAGTCACGATAATGTAAATTCAATGATGATTTTCAAAAAGGAAAAAATGTTGTATATATTCTTTTTCATGTGTCTTTATAATGTTATTCAGATAAAATAGTTTTGCATTCCTGAATTTTGTACTGAAAACAAGGTTTGCCATTTTTAATGAACCAGCCCTGTTCTAACATTAGTCTGAAATAAGTCGTTTTTGAATTGTAGACATTAATTAAAATAATTTTTATAAAAAATTGTATTTTAAAATAAAAAATAATAATAATTGTAGACTGTTTTATACAAATGATATTTTTGAATGTGTTCTTTTGTGGATTTTTTTGAATAAAATGTTTGGTTAATAATGATGTCTAAATTTGTGCTTGTTATTGAATGAGAAAACATAAATATAATTTATACCCTTTTCTACATCTAAATACGCACTTCTTACATATATATATGTATATATATGATAGATAGATATAGATAATATAATATAGATCTTATAATAATCTTATATAGATCCCACATCCGCTTTAAACACATATTACTCATCCTGACAGCTGTTATTATATATAGCCATATACAAATATATAATAAGTAATAAAGCAAGCGGCATAAATCTACTTTCAGATATTCGCGGTTTGTCCCTTCCTGCCCGCCGTACTCACTGTTACCGTGGTGACGTGAAGACGCTCTACTCTACGACTTCAGCGTTTCTGTCAATATTATCGAAGGAAAAACATATTTACTTTGGTTTAATTCCAAAACGCTAAAACGCTGACAGTAAGGCCTGATAAGTCAATATTATCGAAGGAAAAACATATTTACTTTGGTTTAATTCCAAAACGCTAAAACGCTGACAGTAAGGCCTGATCATGGCGTCGGTGTTAGACGCACTCTGGGAGGACAGAGACGTGAGATTTGATATCACTCCGCAGTAAGTCCTCAGGCTAATCTGCTAGCTCAGAAGCTAGTGACTTTCATTTATTAAATCAGATAAATTAATAGTGAACTAGGAGGATATTGTATGCATTTTACTCGTCGATAGATGTAAATTATACGTGCTAGTGTTTCAATATGACATTTTTGTTGTGATCACACAGGCCTCGAGGCTCGAGCACTAGAAACCCAGAGCAAAAAGCTGATTATATTTACATTCGAGTCAGTCTATGAATTCAAATAATAAGGCGATCTTTAGAGAATTTAAACATTCTCTCGAATAAGTAAGGTTTATTGTTTATAAACTAATAACAGGAGTATTATTGTTAACTAAATTATAACAAAACTATTAAAAACGTGTGTTAATTAAAATATTAAAAGCTGAAACATATCACTATTAGGCTAGACGAACAAGCAAAAACTACAACACAAATTTAAATAAAAATTGAAAATATAAACATGAACGCTAATTCAAAATCTGAATAAAAACTATAATTGTGTCAAAGTAATATTAAAATAACAATGACTATTACATATATCTAATTCTAAAATATAAATACATATAAAATAAACATAATACATATAAGGCATATTATTACACTTTATTTTGATTACATGTGTTTTGCTAAAACTACAAGGTGCTTCCAAGGGGGGAAAAAATGCTTTATATAAATATCCGCTTCTCAATGATTAGTTTACTTCACAAAATCATGGTAACGGTTTACATTTTGAAGAAAGATAATATATAGTTACCTTTTTATGTGTGCCTGTGTTTTTTTTTTTTTTTTTTTAATGAACCATTTAGTGTTTTATTTTCCTCTTAGACTGAAGCAACTGATTTTATGTTTCATTTAAGGCAGATGAAAACCAGACCAGGTGAAGCGCTCATCGACTGCCTGGATTCAATCGAGGACACGAAGGGAAATAATGGTCAACTTGTGTGAGTATTTGAGAAATATTCAATAATAATCTAAAAAATGTAATATAATTAACTTTATGCTGGTGTCTACTACAGTAGAAAGATCTAAATGCCATCTTATATTGTACTGGACAGATGTAGCTCTTTCATAAAACATAATTTTGATTCTTTTCTTGTTTTTAAGTAAAAAGGAAATATTTTTCATTTGTGATGTAATCATTCATGCATCAGAGGGCTGTTTAAAGGGATAGTTCAACCAAAAATGAAAATTACCCCATGATTTACTCACCCTCAAGCCATCCTAGGTGTATATGAATTTCTTCTTTCAGACGAATCCAATCGGAGTTATATAAAAAAATGTCCTGGCTCTTCCAAGCTTTATAATGGCAGTGAATGGGTGTTATTTTTGAATAGTCCAAAAGAAGTCCAATAAAGTGCATCCATCCATCATAAAAAGTGCTCCAATGATGTGTTTTTGTCAATTCAAGTCAAGTCACCTTTATTTATATAGTGCTTTTAACAATACAGATTGTGTC